TATTTTAGAGCAAAGGTTCACAGTGTTCTAACTATGTCTAAGTCAGGCTTTAGAAAAATTCCACCCTTACCTTTTCACAATTAGAAAGGTTATAAATAATGTATTTGGCTGGAAAGGAAGCTCAGCCTGTGGCAGATGGTATCATTCTAGAGAGCCGGGCTTTCTGTGAGGATGGCATTCTTTCAGGTCGGAACTTCAGCAGACTCCCAGAAAGAACCCAGGCTCCTCCTAGGGAGTAGACATGTGCTTTATGGATCTTAGAAAAGCTTACAACTTGGCTCCTAGGACGAGAGTCTCGTGTCACACTGGGGTTATGAGATCCACAGCCAATTTCTGCCGACTTTCAAATTCTGTTTCCCAGCACAGAAAGCTGTGGCCTGTTCATTGGCCGGTGTCGTATGTGGCATCTGAACTTGGGATTTAAACCGACTGTTGTCAGCTCAGTTCCTTTCTTCCCTGAACGTTGATGTTTCACACAGACTGGCCACTAAACAGGAAAACTTGCGATAACAGTCGTGTCTTTCTCAAAGTGCGTTAGAGAGCTTGTATAAATAGACATGGAGAGAGAACTGGAATGACATAACCACCGAGTACTTCCTAGACATCTGTGTGGATGCATTTTGAAAAACCTGGGGAGAGATCTCTTGCAAATTAATGAACAAAGGTCCTTTCAATTATGAGCTGTATTGTGACGGCCAGAAGTGATGATTTAAAAATAATCATTTAACAATGCAGCTGCCATTACCTCTGCCCTTTAAGAACAACAACAAAAAAAAAGAGAGAGAGAGAGAGAGGAGGGTTTTCTGGTAGTCTGCAGTAGGGCTTATTTCTTTGCCCTTTTAGTGATCAGCTAATAGGTCCCCAGCCCTGTGATGAATGCACGCTATTGGGAGATAAGAACCAAGGCTCTAGTAGAGAGCCTTCAGCAAGACAAGTACTATCGTGGTACTAACATGTGGGATATTGGGGAAGTCAGAACAGGCAGAAGCAGAGATGCCTGACTTATATCCGCAGGGGTGAACAGCTGTTAGCTAGAAGTGGGAGAGGGCACTGGTCCCTCCTCCCAGTCAGGGAAGTGGTGTGTTTTCCTGATGTCAGCTACGAGGTGCAGGCCAACTTTAGAAGATGCCACCCAATTTGAATATTGCAGCAAATGAAAGTACTATTTTCCTTGGTGTCTTCCCATGACTTGTAACTTAAATTTAGTTAACAGTCTTCTTCATAAGAAAATGTATTTGACTTAAAGTTGTGTCATTTGCAGTTTTACCTGATACCTGTTATTTACAGCATAGTCTTTTGACTGATCTCAGATGTGATCCATCATACAATAAAACCCCAATGAGGAGGCAGTGGCAGAGGGTCTTCATAGTAGTTCACATCACTTAAGTCCGTGCTCGCTACATTCCAGGCATGGTGCTAGTTGTATTGATGCATTCTTTTGCTTGTTGTCTGTCTAAGGGGAGATAGTATGTCTCTTCAAGTCATTGCTTTTTGTTAGTCATTTGCCCAGTGCTTGGCACATAATAGGAGTTCAATAAATACATAGTGAGTGAATGAAAAAAAAATGCCAGAATGAAGGGAGTCTCAGAACAACCCCATGGATGGAGTGCTACTCTCATTTAGTATGGGGAAATGTGATCGTCCATATGACCAGGGTCACACTACCGGTGCGCAGCATGTCTTGGACTTGAATGCAGATTTAGTTAATTGTGTGTTTCATCAGGTGAATAGTTAGTGTGTGTTTAATACGTGCCAGGCCTTGGGCTGGAAGATCACATGCAACCCAGATCTGCGTGAACTCAACAGCCTATTGTAATCTTTTTAAAGCAATGTCTCCGTTTGATATACAAGAATCCCAAGCCTCTCTCCTTAAACACATGGAATTTAGTATACCCTTTTTACATCCCTACCACCTATGAAAATATCATCGATCTTGATTTTCTGTCATTTATATTCAGTATTATCAAAACAGTAGGTGTTTCTTTATGATTTTCCGAATTGAAGAAACAATACTGAATATGATCTTTCAAATGCCACCAGCCCCACAAGGGTGTGACATCTCTCTCCCTGGCCCTTGAACCTCACTAGTCTAGTCAGGTGCCATGCCTGAGACTTCAATAAGGATTTTACCACGAGAAGAAAAACAGCATCTTGCAGTGGCTGCATGTGAAATTTACTGCTTGTTGTGCCAATATAAAGTGAAGTGACCCCAAGTTACCTGAATCATAGAATATTTCCCAGCCCTGCCAAAGCACAGAAAGACCGAGAATCTAAAAAGCTGCTTTGGCATACATCATAACCTGTGGATTAGCCTTTCGATTTATGTCTTGCTTAGGCTAACGTTTACATTAATCAGAGTTCCCTGAGCACCCACCACTGGAAGAGTAGAACGTATCTAGAAAGTCACGTGAGGACAGAGCCTACCAGTTTAGGGTTAAACAAGGGCAGAGGGAAGCTTTGATGATCGTGCACATATGGATATTATTTTCCACATATGGATAGTAATGAACTACATCACACTTTACATATGGACTCTAGTTGTATAAAAATATTTCAGACTTTTTTCACACACTGTGTATTCTTCCATACACACACACACACATACACACACTTATATATTTTTATATTGCACTGTCGGTATACTGAATCACAGTAAATTGAAATGGTCTGTTTACATATTATCCTACGAGTCTGTCAACTTCCCATAGGCAGAGGCTATGTCTTGTCTGCACTAGCACCAGCCAAAGCACATAGTAGGTGTGCATGCAACCAAGAGCAAATTTCCCAGAGAAAACTATTGGCAAACTCAAGTAGATTGGATGTTTTTCAAAAACCTCAACAAAATTTAGATATTTCAAATATTTCTGAAAATTACGATACAAACTACATCTACAGGGTCTATGTACTATTATATTAACATTTAAGAAACTGCCAGAATGTCTAGGTATAAGAGTAATAATTTTTACAAAATTGAACCAAAGTGGGAGAACATCAACTGTCGTCCATTTTCAGAATCACCATTATCCATCAGCGATCTCAATAGTTTTATTAGTGTCTGACTTTATTGATCCATTATTACAATAGAATAAAGGTGATTGAAGCTGACGGATTGTTAACTGGATCAGGTAATCTTCTGGCTTTGGTTTTGGCAACCTCACTAAGTATCTTTTTGTACCCTGGACTGAGGAAGGCTCTTAGTAAAATTGCAAGCTACTAGATTAATGGCAGGGCATCATGAGCCCATTAAGAATGCCTTTTTAGAGAAATAAAATGAGAAAAGGACTATAAAATAGAAAGTGTCAAAAAAAAAAAGGATGTCCCAATTCTTCTTCAGAAGGATAGCCATGTTTCACATAAATAACGCAACTGGAGCTGATCCTTCACCGCAGGTTCTTTACTGATCCCTCAGATACACGTGTCACAGGGATGTCGTTTGGGTTACAAAATTAACACTGGTAACGGATGTTAGGAGAATCGGTAATAACCAAAAGGGCTTTAAATGAAAAGTAGCTTAAAGAAGACATCAAAATACTTTTTGTCCCCAAACTGGCTTTTCTGGTTGCTCACTGCTCCTGAACAGCCTGCCCTCTGTGAACTCTTTCACCACAGACCAGCTGGAGTCTGAACTGCAAGTTCTCATGTTTCCACACATAGGAAGCAGTGGGGGATGGGTTGGCACATCGGAGTCTTCATTATTCCTGAGACTCATTTGGAAATTAATTTAGCTGCTACTACTAGAGAATATGGGTGCTGTGGTTAAAAATAACTGAATTAAGCCACTGAAATTACCATAACTAAAATCTGCCGAGAAGAAGACCCTTTGTTGAAAATGAGTTTAAAAAAACTCCTACTAATACATCAGAATCAATTTTTGTCCTCATTTTTGTGTTAAACTGTTGTCTGTTTTGTGGATGAACATAAGTGACAGAGTAGGTCATTTTCTTTTTTGCGGTGTCTTTGAGAAATTTAGTAAGCATGAAATGTATATATTTAAATTTTTTATGGTTAGTTTGAAATGCAAAACTCAAGCTATACTGTAGATGAAGCCAGCAATAGAATTGCAGGCGGGTTTTTATTCTGATAGAGGATCTCTGTCAGTAGTTCATTTTCTCCTCAAATGTGGTCCGTCAGCCTTTGAACAGCGTTAAAGTAGTTGATGCACCTCCAGTTGAAAAATTGAACACTATATTTTTTGGACTATGAGATGCACCCCTCAAATTTGAGGGAAAAGGGGGGTGCATTTTATAGTCAGAATGTAATGTACTTGGCTCACTGTTGGAGGGGGTGGTGGTGGAGCAGGGTCACAGGATATTAAATATTTTACCACATTTTTTTGCTTCAAAATTTTTTTTCCTGTTTTCCTCCTCTAAAACCTAGGTGCATTTTATGGTCCGGTGTGTCTTATAGTCCTAAAAATAGGGTCATAGCAGTTGAAAGTGCAAGTGGTGTTTCCCAAACTTTAATGCACACTCCAAGACCCTGGGGATCTTAGTTAAAATGCAGGTGCTGATTGGCTAGGTCTGGAGTGGGCTGAGGATGATGCATTTGTAGTAAGCTTCTGGGTGGTGCTGATATTGGTCCCTGGGCCATACTTTGAAAAGCAAGGATGTAGAACAGTCACTAAAACTCTTAAGTTGCCTTTCTTTATGAATGAATGATCATGATGTTATCTTTATATAATTGGGTTTATTGGGGGTCAGTGAAACTTTGTCAGACTAGGAAGAGATGACATTGATGGGGATTCCATAAATACTAGAGCAAAGCCCCTGGGTTTGATAGCTTCATACTGGTCTCAGTAGGTGGTTGCTTTCTACTTAAATAAGCATTTGATGACCTACTTAATGGATTTTACGAAGTTGAGCCTTTGGGTTAAGTGTGAAACAAAAATGTATCAGTATTCAGTTGATTTAAAAAAATAACAGTTTCCACAATTGAAACCATTTCTGCATTCCATCTTGTTCCACTATGTATCACAAATGTTTCCCCCCCCTCTTCTGCAGAGTATGATTTCTTCCATTGTGAACAGCACTTACTATGCAAATGTCTCAGCAGCGAAATGTCAAGAATTTGGAAGGTGGTACAAACATTTCAAGAAGACAAAAGATATGATGGGTAAGCAAAAACTGTTGCAGCGGTGGCTACATACCATTATGTGTCATTTGGGGGTTTATCAAAGTCACATCTAAAACCAGGTCTTTTGATTGCCCAATTAGAGATCAATTTAGAATGTTTCTTTGAGGGTGGGGTGTGGGTATGAGTATAATGAGATAATTAAATTCAATAAATGTTTGTGTTTAAATCAGCCAAACTGACTTGGTTGTCAGACATGCAGGAAACCCGGGCGTGGGGAGGGGAGCTGTCATTTTGTAACATCTCAGTGAAGACCTAACCAGGCCTTGAATAACTAATATTAGCTGTGATTTCTCTCAGAGACAAATCATGCTTTATGTTCTTTGTTTTTGCTCAAGAGAAAGAGAAAGTGTCTATTTTTACACCCCATTTTTAAGGAAATGAAATTGCATTACTAGTTTCCACAATTGAGATTAAGGATTTTTTATATAATTAATCTGCAGCCCTGCATATAAGTGTTTTAGTGAGCGTACTGCTTGACCATCCCTATGGGAAAAAATCATTGCATCATTTCAGAACTTTACATTCCAATGTAGCACACTGTCTTAACATACAAATTCAGGTCAGTATTTGTTACTCAGGAAATACTGTGAAGTTCTACACTGTAAAGTGACAGACAGAAGTCGTGTGTTGTGCCTAAGCATTTAGATGATGACATTTCTGTCCCTATTGAGGTTGTTAGTATTTGCAAAAGCAAAACTGTGATTAAGGTTCATGTTTTAATTTCCAGTAATGTTTTCCTTCACATACTTGCACCCTCCAAATAAGGTATTTTAAAATAACACAGGAATGGGCTATTTAATATGCATCGTATTATGCCCTGTTTTAGTTCTGTTTCTGTTCACTTCTGTTGCATTCATTTAATAACCACAACAATCATAACTGTTCCTAAAAATTTTAGGGGACAAAAGAACCTGAATTTTGAGCATTGTTTCAGCTTTTAATATTTGAAGCGAAACCATCCATCTACCCAGATTCTTTACCTTTTATAGCTTATAGCTGTAATGAAGACAATGCATCATTTTTGGAATAATTGCTTGAATTACTGTTCCCTGTGAATGGCCCACCTGGGCTGATATCACTGGTAGATACGAAAGGTTTTTCCCCCCAATTCTTAGTTACGTTTTGCATATATCAGTGATTATAGCAATATGATAAGTTCCTCTAAATAGAAAACCTAAGTGTTTGATGAAAAGAGAAATGGTGATTAGAATTCATCCAGACTCTATACATAGAAAGTATAGTGTGCTATTTGGAAAGACTTACCTACTTCCATTTAGCATCATGCTCAGCTTTTCTAGTCAGGAGCACCAAACAAGTGTCCTCCATACAGCAGCAGAGCATTTGACATGCTTAGCGTTGACCCTCAGCCAGTGCACATGAGAGATCTCTCCCAGGGAGAAGGATTCATCTTGGATGGATGGTAATAAATTGCAAAATCATGTCAGTATCACCATTGTACCAGAACAACTCTCCGTCCCTTCCTTGAAAGATTATCTTTAGCATCTGGTGATAGCCACAGCTTCTTCAAGAAACATTTGGGTCTTAGCAACACTGGGTAGACTGGCTTGCAATACAATAAATCATCTGCCTAGTTCTAAGAAATATTTGCAGGTATACCTGCTGCCTATGATGGTTAGAATTAAATGAAGCAAACTGTATAGGATACTCAGTTCAGTGTTCGATATGCACTCAGTTATTATTACTTATCATTATGAACACTCATTATTTATCATATTGATTACTTCTTTATATTCAGGTCTGGGTAAGAACTGAATGTTGATAACATTTATGCCATCTTTTTTCCTTTCAAATCTTTCGACTGGAGCAATAACAGTTAATATAGATCACAAGAAAATAATTGCGTATCTCTTTCTTTAGTTGCATATCATGTCTTTTCTTAGCTCAGTTTATTCTTTCTAGATGCTCTTAAGCAAATGGTATACTTGCAGAAACTATCTTAAAGTAAACACTGCTTATAAGCATTCCTGGAGTAACAAAAATGAATAGCAGTTAGACCCCAAAAGTAGTTACATAGAATTGATTTCACGCCTTAAGTTTAAACCACATTGTAAAATTAGATTGGAAGCATTGCCCCACTTTTGAAGTTTGTGGAATTTTGCAAAAGAGGAAAGTAAAAGCACAGCAGGGCGAGTTCTGTCTTGAAATTTTCTTAGTTTAATTGGATCTTTGATGTGCCTTATGCCGACTCTCTGTTTAGGACATGATCAGAAGTGTTTATCAGTGCCCCTCCTTGTTGACTTAACATAATTTTACTTTTTATTCGTTTTAGTCGAAATGGATAGTCTTTCTGAACTATCCCAGCAAGGAGCCAACCACGTCAACTTTGGCCAGCAGCCGGTCCCAGGGAACACAGCCGAGCAGCCTCCGTCCCCCGCGCAGCTCTCCCACGGCAGCCAGACCTCTGTCCGGACCCCTCTTCCGAATCTGCACCCTGGGCTTGTGTCGACGCCCATCAGCCCTCAATTGGTCAACCAGCAGCTGGTGATGGCTCAGCTGCTGAACCAGCAGTATGCAGTGAACAGACTTTTAGCCCAGCAGTCCTTAAACCAACAATACTTGAACCACCCTCCCCCTGTCAGTAGATCTATGAATAAGCCTTTGGAGCAACAGGTTTCCACCAACACAGAGGTGTCTTCCGAAATCTACCAGTGGGTACGTGATGAACTGAAACGAGCAGGAATCTCCCAGGCAGTGTTTGCACGTGTGGCTTTTAACAGAACTCAGGTCAGTTTTGTTTTATTTGTTAATGGTTCTTTTTCTTTTTCTCACCTTCTTCAGTCCTATCTATACTCATGTTTATTCTTTTTCTTTGTACTAACATTTTATTCTCTTCATGCGGTCATACTATTATCTGTTCCTGGAGTTGCCTAAATTTTATCACTCCTTCCCCTATCATGTACCTCCTGTACCAAGAGGAAGCTATGTACAAATTGATCTTGATTCAGGGGCCTTGAAAGAATAAATTAACTATGAAAATTATTTCAAACTGGCCTTACCCGTGCTTTTACATGATGGAATCATAGACAGTAGTGGCAGGTTGAGAAAAGTTTCATGACTTGGTCAAGGCCACTGGCAGGACTCCAGGCTTCTAGCCTGCGATCCCTCCCATGTTACCATCAGTATCAGTCAGGAGTTTAGAAATGTGCTCTATTGAAGTTCCTCTACAACTTAAAAAAAAAAAAAACAACTTGGGACTCATTAGCAGTTTCTGCAATTTAATGTTAAGCAGTCATTTCGAAAAATAATACGTGACTTATTACCAAAAAGTGTTTCTTCGCTTTGTCCTTTTCCCACTTCGCATTATTGTCAGTGTCCTCCCCAGCCTCATTAGGAGGCCCTGTGGTAGGTTCAGCCTGCTGGGTGTGGCCTACTCACCTTGGCTTCCGTATGTATGTCCCTTGCGTCTATACCTTTGTCCTCCTGGGCAAATGCCTGCAAAGATGGTGTCATCATGGGAGACATTTCAGATGAACAAGGGGGAAAGGGTGATAGAAGAGAAGAGAGTCTGAAGATTAAAAAATCCTAAACACAAACTGATTCTATTAAGCTATGACTGAGAGGATTTTTAATTTCTTTTTTTGGAAACTCGTCTGATATATATGGTGTTTATTTTTGGCCTGGGCACACACAAAAAAAGAGCATGTAACTTTGATAAGAATGAGGACATTGTGTCCTTTCAACTTTCTTGCTCTGTTTTTTTTCTCTTGTCAATTTTTGGGGAGGGTGACTAATACTTTCCTCTCATATATAAATTACATTATTTATTACATGATTATAAGAATAAAATTCTGGTACAAAAATAATCTAGTATTAATTCCTTGTTGGCAGAGTTTCCATACCTAGGAGAATCCCAGCTGCAACTTATTTTTGGCTTGCCTTAACTGGATTGAAAGTCAGGATGTTTGACAAAGCCTTTAACTCAGTGTTTATTTTCAATTTCTTTATCTGTTTTTTGTACATCTTTTGGTTTCAAAAGGGTGATTATGGAAGGTTATGTCTCAGGCTGAAATTGCATGGTTTTACCTAGTTCTGTATTTTTACAACTTAAAAAAATGTGTTTATTTTTAGCTGGTAAATTTAATATGATACCTATATTCAATTGGGTGGTAATTATTTTTAAAAATGAAATGAATTAATGAGTGAAAAAGTCAACCGTCTGGCTAGATATTCCTGCTTATGGCAACTTTATTTTTGTAAATAGCAGTAACACCTAGTAGTTCTCAGCATTGAGCAAAAATTACATATAGGGTTGTTCAGTTGAATTAAAAGCTCACAGACAAAGACAACATGGACAGACACACAGGTGCCATATGCAGATTTACTGATAAGCTGTTACAAAATTGAGCAAACTGTTAACTTCTTAAAGCATGGAGGGAAGTCTATTTTATATGATGAAAGATGACAAGGGAGTCCAGCTGAGGGGGACCAGGGAGGAGTCCCCAGCCCTCTGCAGTCTGTCTGCGCTTGGGTTGTATTGCCCCAGCCTTTACTCTGAAGAGTTGATCATTCATTCTGCCTTTGGCTCTTCTGTTGACAAATTCCACAGATATTTGTAGGATTTGTTACTGGGAGGGGAAAAAAGCAGAATTCTCTTTTCATGCCGTGTTAATCTCTTTGAAAAGATAGTCATCTCTGTGGTTAACATCAAAAACAGTGCCTTTATTTTTCTGAGAGTCAGAGGAGAAGGAAAGCCTGGTACAGCTTGATAACCCGCGCCTGCCTCTCCAGTAATAATAGCCAGTGTAGAAAAAGTCATCCCCCAAATATTCTGAGCTCTGGATGGTAGAGGGGGCTGGTTTTGTACCTTTACGTGGTATTGGTAATTGATACTCCTCAGTTGGAGTGGTTGTGGGGCGTATTCGAAGCTGTCTGATTGACCTAAGAGTAATTCTCCTTGCACACTGAAATGTCCACTTTCTGGGAACTGGATTTTGAACAGGAAAGCAAGCATGCACGTATTTTTGGTGTCACACTTAAAAACCACACACATGCACGCGCGTGCGCACACACAGCTGCATTTAATGATTATACATTCATATAAATGCATGTAGTGTGTTTATTTCGAAGTGTATGCATTTCAATAAAAGCAGGTGCAGAGTGAGGGTGTATGGTGTGAGTGTGGAGTACGAAAATACACATGCTAATGCATATGTATAGACGCGCTCCACAGAGTTAAATCACACATTACACATTGTGTGCACTTATTACAATGTGCAGTTCCAACTCCAGGTTTAAAAAATTGATGTAAAATATGTACCTACAAATGCAAAGGTACATGATAACGATCAGATAAATATGATGGCACCCTCTACATTGTATGTTAAAATATTAGTATAATGGATAATGCTCTTATGACTTGAGAAAATGTTTGTCATTGACAGCTCTGTACAAGTTTAACTCTTAATTGGAGAATTTTCTCATCATCTTAATTGGATCTCCTAAATTAAATCATACCCCTCTCTTATGACTTGCACACATAACTTATTTCTTTAAGTCTACCTTTTTTGAAAATTTATAGTGATATTTATATAATTACTTGTTTGGAGGACTTTTTCTGCTTTTGAATTGAGGGGCATACGCTCTTTAATTGCTGCTGAGGACACCAGCTTTTAGCATACATCACTCGTTCAGCTATTCCTACTCGATGTCTTTTTAATAGAAACCTATGGCTAAAAAAAAATTGCCAAAGATGCTAGATTTATACTTTTCCGTCGACTTCTCTGCCGTCTCAAGCTTGTGATAGAAGAAAGTATATTTTTTTAGTGCCTTTTTAAAAATAAAACCCAGAGTTTAGCTCGGATCCCCATCCTGTAGCTTTTTCCCTTTTTCTCCCCCCCCTTGTCTTTGGCACACTTCTATTTTCCAGTAAAATAAAGAATGAAGATGGATTATTCAAAACTGATAACAGTAATGGACCATCATGCAATGTTTTATTGAATTTGAGTTCTGCAAATTATGTGGTGGAGAGAAATTTTCCTGCTTAAGTATAAGGGAGATTGCTACTGTGTTTCTATAATTCTTCACAGTGTAATTTAAGAAAGGACTACTATCCATATCACTATTGAATAAAAGGTAGAAAGGTGCTATTACCCCAACGTGACAGCTCTCGTTTAGCCTCCCCAATGACAGAGATGAATGTGTCTGCTTATAACTTACTTGGCGAAAGTCCAGCATGGTAGGTGGAGCTTGAAAATGGCCTTCCACCTGGACATGTGATTAAAAATTCACCAGCCCACAGAGGCAGGTATAGCCTTGAACAACATTCACCATATTTTCTTTGTAGTAGGGTTTTTTTTTATAAATCAAATCGTATTTTTCTTTTGAGGGCTTTGGAGTTCCATGAAACCGATAAAATCTATCTGAATCAGTGATTACATTCAAAGAGGAGACGAGCAGGAGGCCAGACAGGGTTTTTGTTCAGACTGGCGGTCTCTCTCACTTAGCTGCTGTTTTGAAGAATTCTTCGTTAGCATTTGGAAGTGCTGAGGATATTTGTTGAAGGTTTCTTTTATTGTACAATTACTAAGGAATTTTATTTGTAAAAACTGTAAGCTTTTCGGAATGTAAAAAAGGTTTAGGAATTCATCAGGAAGTTCACTGTTTAATTGAAAAACATTAGAATTTGCAATTAACCACCATGTAATGACAGTGCAGAACCATTTTATATTTTCATATGGAGAGAACATAGGAAATTATTCGAAGATGTGAAGTCCCAATGAAAAGCAGCTTCTCATTTCCAATAAAATTAATATTCATGAGGTGTTGATAACTTACCACATAACATACAGATTCTCAGGTTCTTTTCAGAAACAAAGAATGGCTAACTTTTTGCTTACATTTCTTTCAACAAATTTATTGAGCACCTATGGTGCACAGTATTGACAATATACTTTAGTTCTGGTGTTTCAGTATATTCTGAGATAGCAAATAAGGTCCATGATGTTATTTTTTTAGCATGAAGAAGAATTTTTGGTAAGAGATCCCTCTTACTGTCCTCCATAGAGGATTACAAGTGACCTTAACCTAACCTGGCAAGTCTGAACTGTATTTTCCAGTGTGGGAAAATGGAAAATGGGGCCACATACATCCTGAATCCATAAATGCAGCTATTTGGATCACAGCAACCTGAACGGGACCAAACATCGATTCCCACATCCGGATTCTAATAGCAGTCATTGTGCATCCAGAATTAGTCTCAAGTGACATGACTTTTTTTTTTTTTTTTTTTTGTAATTAACACATTCTAATCAAAACATTTTCTAACAATATTTTCGAGCGTTTCCACCAGGGGGCACTCCCCTCATTGAAAGCCTGGGTCCAAAAAAAAAAAAGGGAAAAAACCCAAAGGTTTCTAAAACACCTGAGATGTCTACACTGGCTGCTTTACAGCTGTGACTGTTTCAGGATTTGAAATATCACTTTAGACCTTTAATATATTACAGGTTGAAAAACTGCACTTGTTCTAGTCAAATAATTAAGTGGAAATCAAATGTTTTGCCCCTGAAACACTTGTACAAGCTCAAATGGGAAGTCATGCCAACATCACCCTGTGGGTAGCGAAATTTCTAAATTCTCTTTTGAGTGACCTGCTGTCTTCTACTTCAGCCTTACAGGAGCGACTTGGTCTCATGTTGGCAAGATTTGATAGAGAATATTATTATGTATTTCTTCCGGTGTTTGTGTGTCTCACTAGAGCTCCCTGCTGTCAGGGGGAACATTTTTAATAGATGTCATCTTATTTTTTGAGGTTTATAAATGTCTAATTTCAAACTTCCCAGTCCTCAGTGTTTGAGATCCCTTTTGACCTAATCTATTTTTTTTTAATTACTTGACACTCACTGTAGATAAATATCTCACAAAATGCCACACAAACTTTTCATTGAAGGACAGCTCACTTTGAGTAAATCAATAGTTACCATTTTAAGCACCCATGGACAGTCAGTACACCTTATCCTTAACTTTCTATCACCAGTTTGCAGTCTTTCCTTTTGTGGTCTGACTGTACATCATTTATCCACTTAGTAAATGTCTGTTGAGCACATGGAGTCGGCATTGTGCTGGGATAACACAAATGAATGTTAGAATATTTTACTCAAGGAATTTATAATATTCTGTTTATTAACTGGTTCATTTCTATCTCCATTTCTTAATAGTTAATATAGATTACTTTGCCAAGTGCATCTTTTAATATATAACATTTGGTAGAGAAGAGTGGAGAGCATGGATTATTTTTTACACCTATTTTCAAGCATTTTTTTTTTGAGATCTGTGTTTTTTGGTTTCAATATGACACATCAACACAGTCAATCTAATTAGTTGGCCTTTTGCAAATTAAATAGGATGATTGACTGCCTGTTTGATTGAATTGTAGTTAAATTGACTGGATGTTTGCTCTTGTATAAACTCAGTTGCAACATTACTTGTCAGTATTATGAATGAAAGGAAGCATACCCTTCACTCTTCAGTTACATGTCTTACGGTGAAACTAAAAGTTTGGGACCAGTTTCCAGACTCTGGTTGCATATACTAAATGAGAGATTCAAATTTACCCGCAAGCCCCTCTGAGCCTATTGGAGATTCTTCTTAAATAGCGGACTACAAATCATTTTTTAAAAGTGGACAGCACTTTTATCCTGTCTGCACCTAACTCTTGTATTTGGCGATATGGGACATGATCCCTAAGGAACAAAAGTAGGTTCGCTGCATCTCCAGGAAACCATGAAAACACCCAAATGTTACAGTCTTGGGGCTTAATTATTTTGACATGACATTTTGCCTCCCCTTCCCCAAATGTACCCTTTCACCTTTTCCACAATTCTGCTGGAAAGTGAAATTTGCAAGTTATTCAGAAATCTTGACAACAGTTTATTCTGAGCTGTATTGTATTGAACGGATATTCTGGCTAAATGTAGAAAACAAACATGCCTTGGCTTTCCAGGAATTATTTCATGTACAAGATTGAAGAGGTAAAGCTGCTCTGTGCCTATCCAATGGATAGAAAAAAATGTTCTAGTCCCTCTATTTTCATACAATCCCTTAAATAAAATTGGGGGAAACCATCCATTTTTTAAAGCAATCTTCAGAAAAAGAAAGAAAGAAGATCTCTTACTGGGGAGAGACACACCCTAAAGAAGTTCAGGAATGGTGTGTCAAGTTCTTCTATTCCCATTAAATATTTTTATTGCTCAAGAAAGTTGATATTTATAGAATTGGATTATTCTTTTCCTTGGCATGCTTTCATGGATTTCTGAAATCTGGAAAGGGGGTTATGCATTTTGAATTTAATCTGTGGTTTCTGAAGTTCAAAATTTCAATCTGTAACCCAGAGGTATGGTGTAGCAAGACAGTACTTAAAATCATTGGGGTTGTCAGTATAGTTTCCTTAAAGTGGTAAATAGAAAGAATCACTTTTCATCGACTCTAATATTTGGAAATTAAGGAATAACCTAAATTCCTGTGAATAACCTATATTCCTAATGCCTGTGAAAACATAACATAAATCTTAGATGATGCTTTCATCACAATCTTTTTTTCTAATACACTGCGGTTCATTTTCTAGTATTTTCTCGGGAAGTTCTGTGTCTCTGGAAATAGCTTTGTATCTTTACATATTGGGCTGCTGGCATCCCACTGCCTTTGTTTAGGCAGCTTGAGAACTATACAGTTCAGTGCTGTTGTATTATGAGCATTTCATTTATCCTTAACTTCCCTCGATCGTCTCTCTGTGAAAGATTTCATGGCAAGTTAAGCTACTCAAAGGAAGGAGACCAATTAGGAAGTTTCAGTTTATGTTATATGTAAAGCAGATGCTTAATAAAATTAAGAATACAATTGAAGCTCTCTTCTCTACCACTTCAGTTGTAACTAATGTATTTCTATGCAGAATTAATGCTTCTGACTGTTCATTTTCTGAACGGAGTGGGGAAGGAAGGGGAAGGATCACTGCTGGCTGGGCAGAGCCTGGGAGCAGAGCCGGCTCACTCACCCTGTGCTTTTCATTCCCTGCAGGGCTTGCTTTCAGAAATTCTCAGAAAGGAAGAGGACCCCAAGACTGCATCCCAGTCTTTGCTGGTAAACCTTCGGGCTATGCAGAATTTCTTGCAGTTACCAGAAGCTGAAAGAGATCGCATTTACCAGGATGAAAGGGAAAGGAGCTTGAACGCCGCCTCGGCCATGGGCCCGGCCCCCCTGATAAGCACACCGCCCAGCCGCCCTCCCCAGGTGAAGTCTGCATTTCCTTCTTCAGCTTTAAAAAAGTGTCTGATGAAGAATCTCAGTAGGAAACTAGAAAGGTAGATGGCCATATGTAGAAAAAAATACAAAACAAAAATTTATAAGAGTTGCTTGGGGGAGAATTTGGTCCCAAATCATTAATTATGGTATAAAAAAAAACGAGCTACTAATTAGGGGAAGAAAGAAAATTGCTTTGTATTGCTGCTGCTTTGGGGTTCTTTGGGGGTGAGAAATTGTCTTTAAATGGGATATTTGTCTCTACTACTATTGAGTAAAGAAGTATTTTAAACTGGAAAGGGAAAAAAGTAATAAAGTCAGTTTTTATCCCTGCAAGTTTTAGAACCGCCATTTGAATAGTAAATAAATACAAATAAATAAATAATTCTATTTGTATTTATGCTTTCCCATACGAACTGCAGCTGGTGCCAATTACACATCATCTCGTTTGTAATCTTTCATAATTAAGTTTAATACAATCCTTGAAGGCAGCTTGAAATGGAGCTGATAAAGAATTCCATACGTATTCCCAGAAATGGGCACATTATCCAAATTTTTACACTTTTGGAGAAGGACCCATGTCACCTCCCAGGTGATTCTGTGTATGTGTATCTGGACTATTACTGCTGCCTCCTTTTTTAAACCAAGTTTAACATGTAGCCTCATAACTTTTAGAATTTAAGAAGTTAATATTTGGTACAAACAGGTAAAAGTTTGATAGTGGATTAGACTTCTAATCCACAAGCAAATATATTTCTTTACATGTGTAATTTGTACAACTCTTAAAAATAACGTCAGCTAAAACTGGATAAAAGTTAAATATGGAATATAAATTTAAAGTATTTATGTAACATCATGTCATAATGAAATTATATCTTGATGTTAATTTTTCATTAATAGTAAAAATAGTAATACATTTCCAAGAATAGGATTATAGAAAAAGCTCATTCAGCACTAAAAATGAAACTGCTACAGATACTCCATGAATAAGGAATAGATGTTATATTTAGCCCCTAGTTGAGGGCCTTAAACTGTTTATTGTAATGCTTTGAAATGATTATTTTTAGCAGTGTCTCAGAAGTCCATTTTCTCCCCTTTTTTAATGAAAATCAAGTGGGTCTTGATGTCTATAGGAGCAGACTGTAAGAAGGTCATTACTGTAACTGTGAATGAGAAACTCATGTTTCTCTAGCAGAAAAGAATGGCATGTATACACACGCACACACACACACATTTACCTGCCCACACATACTCACAGGTTACTGAATTTGATCTGTGAAGCTTCCTGTACAATATTTATTAAGAAAAAAAAAAGAAACTCTACATATAGATATATAAGTTATTATAAGAGTGACTGAACAACAAATGCTGTACTTTGGACTTGGTTTAATAATTAGTGTTGGTGTTTAGAGTAATACACACACCATCATTAGTCAACTTTGCTCCTGTCACCATCACCAGAAGGCCTCTGGGCAGAGAGTTATCTTCCTGCAACACTTAATCTGCAATATCGACAAAAGAATAGCTTACTTAAGACCAGTATGGACTTTAGCATTGAGCTTCTCCTTTCCTTAAAAATTTATCCAAATATTTGACTTAGTGATTAAGACAGCTATTGTTTTTAATTTTTCTAGGATTTTAAAGCTTCTGCTTTTCAAACATGATTCTGCTCTTCTTAGTCATCAATTCTTTCTTTTTTTAATTTTATTTACTTACTGTCAGAGTGGGGAGTGGAGAGAGGAGAGGGAGAGAAACATTGGTGTATGAGAGAAACATCCATTGGTTGCTGCCCCTGTGCCCTGAACTCGGGACCTGGCCCACACTCCAGGCATGGGCCCTGACTGGGGATGAACCAGCTGCTTTTGGTTTGTGTTTCAATGCCCAGACCACTGAGCCACACCAGTCAGGGCTGTCAAGTTTTTTTCTTCAGGCAAAGTAACATTAATTCTTAAGGGATTAAGAATTAATCCCTTAACATACTCTTGAGTAGTTTTCTTATATGTATACATACACTCATACATCTGATATATAGTCATAGACATATAAATGACATATATCAGATGGGGGGTGTATTATATATATCTAAAGGATGAATCTGCTCATAATTTGGGGTAGAAAAATATTTGTTTTGGCTTGAATTATTAATCAATTGGGCCATCCTTAGGCTCTGTTTGTTCTCAAGAAGGGTTGAGACCAAGCCTTTAGCTAGAATATTCAGACAATGATGAACATATAAAGTATGTAAATACTACAGAATCTTAGTGAAATTATTTCAGAGAAAAAAAAACATTGTTTCATTAATGTGATATTATTGGCCATCTTACCAAATTCTGAAATGATTATCTGATGCATGTGTATGATTTTATTTCACTGCTATAATATAAATCTTTACAGTATCGTATGTGCCCCACTGAGAATCCCTTTGCATTATTTAATATAATAATAGAGCTTACAACCATTCACCTTTTACCCTTTAATAATGATTCAATGAATTAAATTTTAAGAGATTTTTAATGGATTAAAAGCATTATCAATGTTGAACAAGTACTCTAGACTTGGGAAAATGTGTCATGAAGCTGTTGAACTAGTCCCGCTTTGCAGCAGTTGAAATCTGATGCTCAAACGGGAACCAGTGCACCACATGTAAGGTTTTACTATGCTTATTGCAAACGACGAAAATAGAAGGCAGGAGGGTGGAGGATGAAACCACAAATTCAGAAACAGGCTGCAGAATTTTGTCCTTTTTAATTTCATATTTTACCAGAGAGGAGTCTATGTGAAATCACTGTGCATTTCATTTCCCCAAAAATGAAGAGACTTGAAATAGAGTGAGACAAGTAGTGGCCTTAGGTTAAAACCCAACCCTGACTACTTTCCAGAGAACTGCATATTGCAGGCCAAGGTCCCTCGTGACTCACTGAGGAGCCCACCCATCTTTAGGCCTGAGAGATTGGATTCTCTCCCAGCTCCTTCTGCAGAGTTCAGGCCACACTGAAGCAGATTTGCATGTTCCTCCTTCATACGAGACTGAGGACCTAAACTACTGAGGGACTCAAATTCTCAGTCATCTTCAACAAGGGACTCCTTGGTTCTAGTCAAGCTCCAGGTTTTATTCTTAGGAATACCTCCCCTGAATAAAGCCATCCTAGCCTCAGGAGTCACCAAAGGTCTGGGCTGGTCCTGTCTAGGTTAGGTGCACCTTGTATACACCTGTCCTCCTGCTTCCGTAGGGGCAGCCTTGCTGTGAGCCACTTATCACTGGGGCAGTCCTGTCTGTTTACTGACTGCATATTTTCACAACTTTACATGCTCATTCAGGAAATAAGATTACCTTGCACTTGGTAATGGTTCACAGTTTTCTCTGCACCTTGATGTACACTAATTCATTGTATCCTCAGACCAATCTTTTTGTAGGAGAAAAATGCGAAAACCAAAGGTAAGATTTAGTCTCAGTTTTCCAGCCCCCTTTTAATTGTACCGCTCTTCCCCCGACCTCAAGCCACTTGCTCAAAATATAAACTAACATTACAGAAAAGGGAAAATGAAACTTGGGGACTTTTTCTGTTTGTCATAGAGGATGGGAAGTGTCATTGTTTGGTTAGGAAGAGGACATTACAAGAACGTTCTCCCGATGGAATGCATTGAGTGCGTGGCAGATGGTCCGTGGGTATTTGGGAGACTGTGGACGACATTGTCCCTTCACTTGGGTTGTATGGAAATGTCTGGGAGAACCCAGTCCCTCCGAAACGCCCAGGTCTTAGAGGTGTCTTTTCTGACTCTGCTTAGCAAATTTTCCAGACGAGTTTATTAGAGGAATTTTATGAATAATAATTAATTATTATTTTCTGGGAATTCTCTGTTCCATAGAACACATCAGTTTTAAGTTAATTTCTATTTAGGTGTGTGCTTATTCTAGTCTTATTTGTGTGTTTTAACATGTGTGACTTTGGCAGGTAAATTAGCCTATAATTATAACTTTTACATTAGTTTCATAATTCTTTTTTTCATTTATTTTTATAACTCCTTATGTTATTATTTAATTTCTTCTAAAGAAAGATGTGGTATTTAATGCTTTAGGAAATGTACAAAGTTCATATAAGAAATACATCATTATTTTAACCTGGCAGCTGCACCCTTCTGTCTCTTTACAAGTTCTTCTATAATATAATGAACTGTAGGTCCAGTTATGGGCAGGAGCTAAATATGTGATGAAAGTTTCATTTGTTATGAATTCTTGACCAGCATTATTTTAAGATCTTATTTACGTGCTTGTAAAATGTTTCCTATAAAAGTCATCTCTTAAAAGCTAGAGGATTTGGAAAATAATTAACACAGTTTCTACAGTCATCATACTCCAGACAGTGTTAACGGAGTAAAATTTGATAATATGGACTATATTACATCACCAATAAGAATGCCTTAAAATAGTGTATTTCTTATATAGCAGCACTAAGAAATAACAGTTTGTATACCTTAAACAATAAATTTGGACTCCATTTGTAAAATGAATGATAGTCACTTATTAGGAAGTATTAATATTAATAAACTAGATTTAGCAAAGGGCCACCAAAAAAGCAGGTCCAGCATGTCTTTGAAAACAGGGATTTTTCCAAGGAAACAAGTCCCCTATAACACAACTGCAGTATAGTCGCAGTGGATTCTAAGATAAGCATCAGCATCAGACAGACTCCGGCTTAGCTTCCAGTCTTGCCCATGGACAGATTCCTTAAAACCTCTTTGTTTTAAGAGCATTTTCTCTATTTTTAAATAGAGCGTTAATAGCACCTACTCTGGGCTACTGTGCAGGTTAGGGTTAGTGTACATTAATATCATGCCCACCACATAATAAGCAACTAATAAATGTTAGTGTTTATTATTGTCATCATTACTAATAAAACTACATCAAATTTTGTATGTGTGCATGCACACACGTGTGTGCTGGGAATAACATAATCTCCTGTGAGGTCCATTGCAGAAATCATTTAGTGGAGTGTGCATGTAATATGTAGTACATATGTAGTATGTATGGGTCATTTTGTGGTATGATTCGATGCATACCGCAGTACATGAAGGCACAAAATAGAATTCTCATGGGAAATGTACATTCCAGTGCATAACTTCAGTGAAATAAAAGGCAGGTCTTAGTGCTGCACCCTGTGCCCACGTGGGCAGGTAACAGAGTAGAAGCTCCAATTCCTAACTGCTTCCCCGGCGCCTCTGTAATGACGGAGTGGCCCACCCTACCTTGATAAAAGCTGTTCGGAAAGCAGCTGCCTTTATTTCACCTCCTGTGCTATTTGCGGAGAAGAGCTGAAGAGTGGTTTGTTTTGCCTGGAATGAACTACTTTATGAATTTTAATGTGTGATATAATATTAAAAGCTAAACCAGGATTAAAGATTTTTTTTTGTACTAAGCTAAAATAGTACTTAGTCGAGTGAGGTATATAAAAGATTTTTGTTTCCATTTTTACCTGGGGAAAAATTCAGCTTTCATATTTTTGAGAAGCTGGCCAAGTCAGTTCCCCTTAAGCAATAGCTTGTGTTTATGGGGGAGGGATGTGATTTCAGAATTCTAATAGCTTATCTATGATAAGATACGGATCTGAGCCAACAGGATGGAAATGGAGAACTTTTCTATATCTTTTTAAAATGAGTAATAGTTTCCTTATATTTTTAAAAGTCATTGCTATCACTTTCTTCTTAAAATTTTTAATGTTTCACATGTACTTATTTCCCACTTTTATTTTGTGTTGGCTATTAGGAAACAGTTGATTTTTTTTTCAGGATTTAAAATTCTTGCTTTTTAATCCAAGTTGTAACTGCTCTAAAAAGTGTTAAACCTAAAAGAAAGTTTTGGAAACTAAACCACAGTGGTGAGACAAATGATTATAGCATACCTGGAGGATAAATTCTTAAACGTAATTTTTACAAAAAAATGCAAATTATTTAAAAACATGAAACACCAAGTTTCCAGAGCCTGCTCTCTCTCAACTATCATTACAAAGCAGGCTGCTGCCACGGAACTCTTTCTTCCAGTGCACTGGACTTCACGCCCCCATTTCCATAACATTCCATTTTCAAAGCGATTGAAATGGTTTTTCTTTTCTCTTTCATTTAGGCAGTGAGAAAAAATAGGTATTAAAAGGGACCCCGTGGGGTGATCAAATCTATCCTTCTGCCTCAAAGCAAGACCACCCCAGAGCAAAGTTGTGAATCCCACCAAAGCAACTTTGTAGGCAATTTATGGTAATGCATTAACTCTTCTGGCTCCTAAAAGTGGCGTTTAGCAGATTATTGCTCCAAAGCCCTGTGTATGTTCTTAGTGGCCCCCAGTCCTTAATACCTCTGAGAGTGCCCTTGCTTACTGAAGTCACAGGGCTGGAAGAGGGACTGCGGAAAGCTGGCCTGCTCCCGGCCTCTAGTTTCTAGTGTAGGAGAGGCAATGAGGCTCAGCCAGTCGGTCACTTGTCCCGCCTCACCTTTTGCGCCCTCACTTTGGACCTGTGGCCCAACCATTTCACGGCATTATCCTTTCAGCCTTAGGTAGTCTCAAGGTGGAAGAATCTAGCTGCCAAGACAAGCCAGAGGTGAGTTGTTTTGCTAACTGGCTGGAAGTTCAAAGGATTCAGAAGGCAGGTTTTAAAGGGGCTCATGTTTACTAAGTGCAGAGAACTGAATAGCTGCTACCTCTGTCCTACTCTTGATGCCAAATGTTTTGGGACAGGGTAGAATAAACCTGGAAGGCTTGCAGTATGAATAGGAGGATATTATCATTTAATGGCAAAAAAATCATCCATTTGTTCTGAAATGCACTTCATTTTCTAGTGTTGTAGTATATGTGAGAACTGGTCCAAGATGCTAAATTTCTAAAGAACAAAAACTTGGGTTCTATAAAGGACCCTAAGAAATTAGGTCCTTAATGAACCACTTTGCCGGGGAAGCACACGGCCCTACATCTGTGATAATTTTCATTCACGTCTTAGTCAATTCCCCAGTAAAAAAAAGCAGTGACATGGTTCATAGGTGAATTTACCAGAGCAGCCAATGTAATTGCATAATAAGTATTAAAATTTGGTGTTTTAAAGATTAATAATAGTATTAATAAATGTTGAGGATGTGATTTAATTTTTTCCCCTAACATTTTGTGGCATTTTTCTTCCAATGTATGCTTATCATCATGGCCAAAGGCTTATCATCACCAATTTTTCAGTCAGGATCATACATTTTGAACATGTTTTTAAAGCCACTGATGATATATTTTGTGTAACTTAGCAGCAGCATTCTGTCAAATGTTGTGAAACATTTTCTTGTAGTCTGGTTCCACAATTCAAAAGAAATAGTTATATCCAGAGGTGCCAGAAAGAGATGAAATAATTACACAGAACAGCTTGGACATTCACGTGTAAAACCCAACCCGCCTTTATGATAATTAAGCAAGGCACTCTACCTGTTTCATGGATAAAAGATTTAAATATGCAGCTCCGCAAATGGCTTTGTTCTGGAAGCTTTTAAAAGTGAAACATGAGGAAAAAGGCATAAAGAAAGGTCCAACATTGAAAAGGCATAGTATGTAATATCTATTAGTGATGCAGTTGTCTGTTAGACACCAGGCACCCAGAGAAGATACAGCTCTGTGCAGTATGGTCGTAATTGTGAGTTTCCTTTGTTAGAATTGAATGAAAAGTAATTGGGAAACAATTAGTTTGGGGTTTTCAAGTCTTAGAAACTATTTCGTTTTCCAGAAAACTTACTTTATGGCATTGTAATTCCTGGTTGTCAGCTGGCAGCTGCTGTCATATTACAGATGCACTCACCTGTGACAATGTGACTTCCTTAACTTACGCAATCTGATCTCAGGGCAGTGACGAATGTTGAACGACTGCACTGCTGACCGCCCTGATCATAAAAGGAGCAGTGATACCTGGTTGGGATGCTGAGCCCAAGAAGCTTCAGAGCAGTTTGACCAAGGAAAAATGACAGTCATGTTCAACATGTTTTGTAGGTGAAAACAGCTACTATTGCCACTGAGAGGAATGGCAAACCAGAGAACAATACCATGAACATTAATGCTTCCATTTATGATGAGATTCAGCAGGAAATGAAGCGCGCTAAAGTGTCCCAAGCACTGTTTGCAAAGGTTGCAGCAACCAAAAGCCAGGTAAGAGCGCCTTGATTAGGCATGGAGAATGTTTATCTGCGACGCCTGTGAAAATTTCATTCAAAGGGGTGTCTGTTTGCAGTGTGAATTTGCATCACCGAGAGCTCATAGTCTCCAGAAATATTTACAGAGCTCTGGGATGAAACAAAATGTTCAGATTCCACTGATAGACGCATGGTTTTGCTTCCTCCAACAGCCGTTCTCCAGACCAGGGATTTCTTAGTAAATCCCTGAGTCTGTTTAGAATTGTTTTCAGTAGAAGAATAATGTAATGTATAGGAAGTTTCTCAGTCTGGTCTACTGTAGTGGAACAAATAGCTTTGAGTTACTATTGTTTGATTATTACTCAGGTGACCTTCATTTCTTTCCTAAAATACTAGAAACATTATAGTTTATTCTGTTCCATCTCCAACATCTACAACTGCTAGGCACACTTATTAAGACAAACTGGCATACACACATAGACCCTTGCATATGAATGATTTTAGTTTTTCTATAGATATATGACACAGATTGAATTACAGTTAGAAAAAACTGTCCATCTCTGTTGAATTATGAATGAATAGAATTGAATTGGAAAAGTTACAGATCCCTACAAAGCAAGATAAAGACATAACAAAGGATAGATAATGCAGTTCTTTATCAGTATAATTGTCATATATGGATAATTTATATGTATCAGAAGCCGAGTCATCTACATGCACGAACTCACAATTATCTATAAACCCTTGTTCAAAGCAAGATTGCTTCTTAAAGGACCAGAAGAACACTAAACTCTCTTTCCCTTTGCAAAAAAGATTTGGTAACACTATCAAGGTGAGAATTTAGAGGCAGTGGAAGGGCTCTGGTAAGTTTTTAACAACTTCAGATTTTAAACAAACATACTTTTATTATCACTAATGAACCCTCCTTTATCAAATAGCTGAATGCTATCAACTTCTGATAACAATAGACAATGCTGAGAGTATTTAGAGTATAAAACTCTTTGTAGCTTTTCCTCCAGTTTTACTCTGTCCGCGTTAATAGTGGTCCTTGATCAGAGTTTGGTTTTAGAAAATGTTGTTCTCGTTTAAGTTACAGACTGGGTGAACTACTTCAGGGATATCTTGGAAATGCTACATAAAAATGATTAAACTCAAGCTGTGGACTGTAAAAATTACAGCTTTCTAGGCCACATGCCTGCCTACCCTTCAATCACTGTCACAGTGATAATTTCTACAATGACATGTTTCTTTTATTGTGAGATTCTAAACATCGAGTGCTGTTGAAACATTCAGCGGAATTGTTTATGTTAGTGCTGCGCTCCGCATGTCGTGCACCAGACCACCGCACTCTCTCGTGGAATGTAAAACTCTGTCATGAATCATGGCTTGTATATCGGAAATTACTGTAATTTTGATTGGAAATTACAGGGCTCTTGAAATGTTTCTAATTATGATAGAATGTTAGAGCCGCTTCAAACCTGTGTGCTCCTTCAGATATCTTCATTTACATGCCAAGACTCAGGCATTAAGGAGAAATGTCCTGGTCTCACGTTACCCCTCACCCACCCGCCCTGCACATTTTTGTTTGGGCTCTTTCGTCTAATTATGATGAGGATCCCATATTTAAATATATATAATCTTGCTTTTCTTTCTGATCCTACATCTTTTCTGACCTATCCAATTAAATTATCAAGAATAACAGGCTAGGTTCCCACAATGCCAAACACTCCCCAAATCTGCGAAATACATAGAGAAACTTCACATGGATTATCATAAGAAAGGTCAGACTCAAAACAACAAAAGTGAATGTTAAAACATTTGATAACTGTCATTTATTACTTGCTATATGTCATTTACTTTAATCTGGCCCCCACTCCCTCAGTTTCCTTTCTGCCTTTTTCATCTCATGGCACACAGAAACGCACTGCTAAAATTCTGCAGCCCACCAAAAAAAAATTTGTGTGCTGATTTGACAAAAAGGTATAATTTTGATTGATTTACAAAACACAATAACAACAGTAATGACCTACCTTCTTTGCTCAAAAGTGACTTTCTTAAAAAATCAGGTGCCTCTACTCATAACTAAGGACTTCGGGGACCAAGAATTAACCGATGAGACACAAACTTATTATGCATTGTGACCAATAAGATGCAGCTTTGTTATATGACCTATGCATTTATGGCTCAAGAGAGAGCATTCACACTGACGGCTGTTGTTGTGTTGGCTGTTGTCATTTTTTTCATTTGACAGTCTAAGGGAAAAGAGGTCAGTGCCCTTGACTAAATATTCAGGTATTGCAGGCTTTAAAAATTCTTGTGACCCACCCGTTAAAAATCACTGGTCTGTGTCCTAACTCCCTGTGGTTAGCAGTGCCTTTGCTATACCTTCATTCTTTCTTCCCTTCTTCACGTGACATCCCCAACCTCCCTGCCTGGGCCGAGGTACTGGTTTCGGAACCGGTCAGACAGCGGCAGCAGTGGGTTGATGAGCTCGTGTGGGTGATGTTCTGGGGAGGGTTGTCCTTGCCTTTGTACCCCTGCCCCACAAAGCTTCCCATGAGTCTTGTTCCTTGATGCCTATTGGCAGCTGCTGTGCGTCCGCCGTGAAGGTGTGTCCCGAACCCCAGAGCTGTTAGCTGGTCTCTTCACTGCTGGTACAAAGAGAACCTAAGGGGTCGAGCAGACTGCCAGCTTCATTCCATCAGATAGTTATTCCTAACTACTAATTTGCGGTCACTTCCTAACACCATTTCTGTAGTTTTCTCTTAGTTGTACAGGTTAGTTGTTAGCACTACCCTGTTTGTGAGAATATGTAGTAAGACCGAGGATTACTTAAAAAGAAGACAGTAGAAAAATGGTATGTGTGTATCACCGAGGGGGGGGGGGCTGACTCAACAAGGGAGGGTGTTCATTTATTTACCTGGTGTTCTCCTGCTGTGATTTTGGGGAAGGAAACAAATACAAATTTGTGTTGCAAACAAATACAAAAATATCTTCAGATCAGACTGACCTTTTTCATGGTCCAGATTCCCAACTTCTGTTTACGTCTTAAAGATAGTGTGCAGCAGGTTGTCGGGGTGAGGCAGATGCCTCCGAAATTGGAGCCCGTGGGGACTGTGGGAAGCAGGAAGCCCCTGCCCCGTCTCTCTCAGCCTGTGCTTCTGCGTCTCGCTCTAATCCTCAGGGTGACTTGGCATTCATCACCTTTTTGTGTGTGCTAAACCCCATCGTACGTCCTGTATTACCTGCACTCAATTCTCAGAGTAACCCTGTGAGCTAGTGTCATTTTCCTCATTGTACACCTGAGACTCACCTGACTAATAAATAGGAGAGGCAACCCCCAGTTCTCTGCACCTGCCCTACTAGTCCAGTGTCTCCTCAGGGTTCCAGGAAGCATCAGTACTGGAGTTTCGCGGCTCCAGGCAAGAAATTGGGGATATTGGACTAATAGTGGAAATGGTGGGGGCTTTCCTTTCTTCACTGACATACTCTTGGGATGAGTTCTTACCAACATTGGGCCCCTGGAGCCTGTGCCTTTTCATGCCCGATGGGTAAGCAGAGGGGAGACGTGTTAGAGAATGGGGGAGGCTGTGGGCCAGGCGGCGTCACGGATACTGTAATACTGGGAAATCATTTAACCTCTCCTGAGCCTAAGATCCTTTTAACATGGGAGGAGGTTATATGCTATCCTGTATGCAGCAGAGCGTTTAAGTCATATTGCACTGTGCACAAATGGAAAATGTCTTCTAACGTGCTAGTAAGCAAGAGGCTGAGCTCATGACACAGAGACATGTTTACTATCCCTTCGTGTGTCTCAAATACCTTTCATTTTAAAAGGTGAAGCTCTAGGTAGATGCCCCGAGTGACAGGCAGCACACTTACTTTAAAGTTGCCGCAGTCCCAGAATGTGACAGAACCAGACACATCATGGTGGTGCTGTGCAGTGACTGATGCACAAGGTATTCTTGTAAAAGAAACCAACTCTGTGGATTCCACCATTGCACAGGTATTATGTTATCTCTCCGATGAGTAACAGAAATGAGATTGTTTTTAACTCTAATAGAAATGTCTGAATAAAATATGCAGGTACGACCTGAAGGTAGGCTATTTCTGTGCTTGGGTAGGAAAGCTGGCTAATGCAAACTTTAAAAAGATGATATGCTTTCACCATAATGTGAGTAGCTACAAATGAATACACTTTATATTCTGGGTATTCATATAAGCAGCAGTTTTTTTCAAGTGAATCATATTGGAATTTTATCAAACATTTAGTCTGATAACATCCAAATAATTATGAGAGCAGAATTCGCTAATTTTACTGTTTAAAAAAAATAGTTGATTTGGGTAATAACCATTACGGTATCAAGGTTCAGTTACTGTTCATTGGTTATAGTGTTTTCATATGGGAGATGGAAATGGAATTTTTTCCTTAATGGTGGCAGATGTTGAAATCTAATTTTATTCCACGGCAAACCCCCTGAGAGCGCTGAGACTTAAGGTGTATGTCCAGCAAGGGGACATTAGCAGCGCTGCAGGCCTTGCCTTGTACGTCGAATTGTTACATTGATTTTCATGTTGCGGAGGGGGGGCTTGCAGATACAGTAACACAGGGAGAGAGAGTGAAGGGCTTTCACTGAGGGACACTGCATCGCCACTTATGTTTAGAAAACGATTTCTCGCCTGTGCTTTATTGAACGGGGTATGTCTTTCAGGTAAAGCGAGTAGATGATGAAAATTCTATTTGACTGAACGTGCTTTCAGTATAATCTTTTGCAATCTCTACCTACCAGTCCTGGAGAGGTGGAGGACTCTGGCTGCTACAGCTTTGGCTGGTTGATAGGTATGGTTTTTCACAGTAAAAAAAAAGAAGACAGAGATACTCTGTGGAGACAGCACAGCCACAAAAAGAGGCCGAATAATCCAAAGCCTTTTGCTTTCTTCCATCCTTTCAGACATTTTTATCTTTGAGATTGAAGGCCTTCGAGATGAGAGAGAGAAAGGGCAGCACAGGAAAGA